CCCACTTCTTCGGATGCATATGCATCCGAAGAAGTGGGTTGTAGCCCACGAAAGCTTATGCTCTAATAAATTTGTTAGTCTCTAAGGTGCCACAAGTACTCCTGTTCTTTTTGCGGATACAGACTAACACAGCTGCTACTCTGAGACACAGAGAGACAGTCCTTGCCCCAGAGTTTACAAAGGAGGGGGAAGGAAAACAGTCAAATAGATACAACTATAGATCTACAAAACTCAAAAATGCAGATGTATATCTCTTTAAGAGTCAAATAGCCAACTGCCAATTAAGCTAAATCTTCATTAACTGGTAGATTTCTATAATGTAGCAAGTATCAGTGGCTGATTTATACACTCTTCCTATCAGGCCAAGGACATAAGAACAAGTCAAGGGGTCTCATCCCAAATACCTATTGCCATCAGCAGGGATCCCTTCAGCCTCGTCTACAAAACAGAAAATGGTGACTCAGGAAAATGCTTGAATGTAACACCTTCTTCCCATCTTATTTTCTGTTTATCTTTTAGACTAAGCTTCTTAGTGTGGGGGACTGTATGTTTTATACAGGGTCAAGAAGTGGCCGTGCTTAGTAAATAGGATGAGATCTCAACTGTCAGAGTAAAAATATATGACAAATAAGCAATGTGACAAAACTAAATCTACAGCCCCACATCTTACCATAGCTTTACATACTCCCTCAGGACTTTTGAGTGTCTACAAGGCTACTGGGAGATTAATCCCAAGAGTTCCACTCTGCAACAGCAACATCTCTACTGGGATATGTAGTGCCACTTTCCTGAAAGCAACAATGGGAATTCTGGGCAAGGAAGGAGACTGGGAGAAGGGCGGTATCTGAGTCAGTGAACCAGGTCGTGCTGGTGGGGGAGTGACACTATATGTGAAAGAAAGCATAGAATCAAATGAAGTAAAAATCTTAAATGAACCAAACTATACCATAGAATCTCTAAGGATAGTAATTCCATGCTCAATTAATAAGAATATAGCAGTAGAGATATATTACCGACCACCTGACCAAGATGGTGATTGTGACTGTGAAATGCTCAGGGAGATTAGAGAGGCTATTAAAATAAAAATCTCAATAATAATGGGGGATTTCAACTATCCCCACATTGACTGGGTACATGTCACCTCAGGACGGGATGCAGAGATAAAGTTTCTAGACACCTTAAACGACTGCGTCTTGGACAGCTAGTCCTGGAAACCACAAGAGAAGAGGCAATTCTTGATTTAGCCCTAAGTGGAGCACAGGATCTAGTCCAAGAGGTGAATATAGCTGGACTGCTTGGTAATAGTGACCATAATATAATGAAATTTAACATCCCTGTGGCGGGAAAACACCACATCAGCCCAACACTGTAGCATTTAATTTCAGAAAGGGGGACTACACAAAAATGAGGAGGTTAGTTAAACAGAAATTAAAAGGTACAGTGCAAAAAGTGAAATCCTGCAAGCTGCATGGAAACTTTTTAATGACTTTTTAAGTTGACCCATAATAGAGGCTCAACTTAAACGTGTATCCCAAATTAAAAAACATAGTAAGAGAACCAAAAAAGTGCCACTGTGGCTAAACAACAAAGTAAAAGAAGCAGTGAAAGGCAAAAAGGCATCCCTTAAAAAGTGGAAGTTAAATCCTAGTGAGGAAAATAGAAAGGAGCATAAACTCTGGCAAATGAGGTGTAAAAATATAATTAGGAAGGCCCAAAAAGAATTTGAAAAACAGCTAGCCAAAGACTCAAAAAGTAATAGCAAAAAAATGTTTTAAGTACATGAGAAGCAGGAAGCCTGCTAAACAACCAGTGGGCCAACTGGACGATCGAGATGCTAAAGGAGCACTCAAGGACAATAAGGCCATTGCGGAGAAACTAAATGAATTAGAAGCGAGTCTCATCTTATGTGCATTTAACATGCGCAAATTCAGCTTTGCATGGTCGGCAAAAACTAAAACAAAAAAAAAGAAAAATAATTTAAATACTGTACCCGTAGTGCGGGCGATTCCGCCCACCATTACACTCAATGTAATTTTGACTATACGCAATTTTCACTTTACGTGCTGACAACGGAACGTAACCCCAGCATAAGATGAGACTTGCCTGTATTTGCATCGGTCTTCATGGCTGAGGATGAGAGAGAGATTCCCAAACCTGAGCCATTCTTTTTAGGTGACAAATCTGAGGAACTGTCCCAGATTGAGGTGTCATTAGAAGAGGTTTTGGAACAAATTGATAAACTAAATGGTAATAAGTCACCAGGACCAGATGGTATTCACCCGAGTTCTGAAGTAACTCAAATGTGAAATTGCAGAACTACTAACTGTAGTCTGTAACCTATCATTTAAATCAGCTTATCTACCAAATGACTTGAGAATAGCTAATGTGACGCCAATTTTTAAAAAGGGCTCCAGAGGTGATCCTGGCAATTAGAGGCCGGTAAGCCTGACTTCTGTACCAGACAAACCGGTTGAAACTATAGTAAAGAACAGAATTGTCAGACACATAGATGAACATAATTTGTTGGGGAAGAGTCAACATGGTTTTTGTAAAGGGAAATCATGCCTCAACAATCTACTAGAATTCTTTGAGGGGGTCAACAAGCATGTGGACACGGGTGATCCAGTGAATATAGTGTACTTAGATTTTCAGAAAGCTTTTGATAAGGTCCCTCACCAAAGGCTCTTAAGCAAAGTAAACTCTCATGGGATAAGAGGGAAGGTCCTCTCATGGATCAGTAACTGGTTAAAAGATAGAACAACGAGGAGTCCTTGTGGCACCTTAGAGACTAACAAATTTATTTGGGCATAAGCTTTCATGGGCTAAAACCCACCAGTTGACAAGAAGGGGTGAATATCAACAGAGGGAAAAAAATAATTTTCTCTCTGTTGATACTCACCCCTTCTTGTCAACTGCTGGGAATGGGCCACATCCACCCTAATTGAATTGGCCTCGTTAGCACTGACCCCCCACTTGATAAGGCAACTCCCATCTTTTCATGTGCTGTAATATATATACCTGCTTACTGTATTTTCCACTCCATGCATCTGATGAAGTGGGTTCTAGCCCATGAAAGCTTATGCCCAAATAAATGTGTTAGTCTCTAAGGTGCCAGAAGGACTCCTCGTTGTTTTTACTGATACAGACTAACACGGCTACCCCTCTGAAACCTGGTTAAAAGATAGGAAACAAAGGGTAGGAATAAATGGTCAGTTTTCAGAATGGAGAGGGGTAAATAGTGGTGAAGAGTTACAAAGAGAACTCATAAAACTGGGTGAATGGGCAACAAAATGGCAGATGAAATTCAATGTTGATAAATGCAAAGTAATGCACATTGGAAACCATAATCCCAACTATACATATAAAATGCTGGGGTCTAAATTGGCTGTTACCACTCAAGAAAGATCTTGGAGTCATAGTGGTTAGTTCTCTGAAAACATCCACTCAATGTGCAGCGGCAGTCAAAAAAGCAAACAGAATGTTGGGAATCATTAAGAAAGGGATGGATGGTAAGACAGAAAATATCATATTGCCTCTATATAAATCCATGGTATGCCCACATCTTGAATACTGCGTGCAGATGTGATCGCCCCATCTCAAAAAGATATACTAGAATTGGGAAAAGTACAGAGAAGGGCAACAAAAACAATGAGGGGGATGGAACAACTTCTGTATGACAAGAGATTAATAAGACTGGGACTATTCATCTTGGAAAAGAGATGACTAAGGGGGGGATATGGTAGAGGTCTATAAAATCATAACTAGTGTGGAGAAAGTAAATAAGGAAGTGTTATTTACTCCTTCTCATAACACAAGAACTAGGGGTCACCAAATGAAATTAATAGGTAGCAGATTTTAAAACAACCAAAAGGAAGTATTTTTTCACACATCGCACAGTCAACCTGTGGAACTTCTTGCCAGAGGATATTATGAAGCCCAAGACTACAACAGAGTTCAAAAAAGAACTAGGCAAGTTCATGGAGGATAGATCCATCAGTGGCTATTAGCCAGGATGGGCAGGGATAATGTCCCTAGTGTCTGTTTGCCAGAAGCTGGGAATGGGCAACGGGATGGATCACTTGATGATTCCCTGTTCTGTTCATTCCCTCTGGGGCACCTGGCATTGGTCACAGTCAGGAGACAGGATACTGGGCTAGATGGACCTTTGGTCTGACCCAGTCTGGCCGCTCTTATGCCCCGGGTCATCCTCCATCCAACTCACTCTTGATGTTTTCCAGCACAAATTGCTCATTCTTCCCCCCAAGCTCTCACTACATTAAACATCATGTTCTCCCTTGCAGCCATAGAAATAATCCTAAACAGAGACATTTGTCATCACCAGCTCTCTTTCCTCTTTGAAATTCTTGCCCCATTAATTATATGCATTTTTTCTCTAAGGCCATAGGCAAATGTCTGCTAACTATTTATAATCTAGACAGAAAGCTTCTGCATACCATGTGTTTCCACCCACCTGTCTGTCTCACATACAGACGCTTTTCCAGAGGCAGGCTCTTCACATCCAAGAACAAGAGGGTCATGAAACAGAGAACTGTATGCCAGTTATGGAAGAAAATCAATTCTCCACCCGAGACAGAGCTCACAACCCTTCCCTACAACACAGCTAGCTCAGGGACCCATCCTACCCCTCGGCCCATAGAAAACACTGACTTCTGAAAAGTCAGTGTCCGCACAGGGGATAGAATTCTCTTAAATAAGTGGAGTCAGCTAAAAACTGAGCTTCAGAGAATGATTCTAAACCAAGGGGAAGCAGTCACCACCTTTGAAGGCAGCCAAAGGGCTCTGGGTGAGACAGCCTCCAAATTAATTGATCTGAGCCTCAAGAGGGTTGTCAGCCCAGCGAGACACGGGCTAAGGAGCATTATGAAGATGAAGTAATGCAAACAGGGTGTCAAGCATGCCCTGTTCCTGCACCGCCTGACCCTGACTGAAGCCCGAGCGCCACCCACAGGCAGCAGGGCCAGTTCTATCCCCCGGGGTCACCTAGGAGCCCCAAGCGGACTCGCCCTGGCCCAGCAGCGGCGGGCGCCTGCCAGCGGAGCATCCAGCCGTGCTGGGGGCAGCGCAGGGAAAGGCCCGTCAGGCCGCAGCAGCGCAGCGTGAGCCGGGGGACGGTCACCGCGTGTCGGGCGCTGGAGCAGCCCCCGCAGGAATCCCCGTGATCGTTGCCGGGACACGCGCCGGGGCAGGGACCGTCCCACCCGGCCCCGCTGCACCCAGCCCCGCGGAGCCGCCCGGTCCCTGCTCCGCGAAGGGCTGCCGGAGGCGCGGCTCGGGGAGCGGTGAGTGGGGGAGCCTCCCCCCGGCCCCGCGCGGGAACAGGGCGCCCGGGCAGCGCAGCGCAGCGGGTTACGGGAGCGCGGCTCAGACACGGCCCGGCCGTTACAGCCCCGGGGTCCGGGCCGCGCGCCCGTACCTGCGGCCCAGCGGCTCCCAGCCACACGGCGCGCGAGGCGCGGGCAGCATGGCCACTGGCGGGCGCGTGCGCGGAGCCACGTCACCAGGCGGGGTTCGCCTGGGGACTAGGGGGCACTCCCCCCTCACTAATACTTACAGACCGCGCCCCCACGAATCACGTGCTCCCGGGGGCGGTGATTGGCTTCACGGAGCCAATAAGCGCTAGACATGGGCGGAACCCCTTACATCCGTGCAATATCAAAAGCAACGTCCCGCCCGCCATTCTCTCCCCCAATAGGTTCTCACTTCGCTCGAGTCACGCGGACATTACCCAATCAGAGAGCGGCCCTTGTGTTTGGTCCCGTCCCCCGGTCGCCCTGATTGGCTACGGTCGGCAACAATCTCTGTGATTGGCTGGGATCCGGCGGCAGGTTTAAGTTCCCCGTCTGTGGGCTCGGGGCGAGACCGGGCCAGGGACCAGCGGGGCGCGGCGGAGCGGCGCGGCGCGGCGCCGGCGGGTCAATGAGGGCGGCGCGCGGCTGGGGGGCGAGCGAGCGGGCCGGGACCCGCGGGCGCCCGGAGGCCCGGGCGATGGGCCGCGGGTGACCCGGCTTGTGTGCTCCTAGGTGGCGGTCCCGCGGCGCCATGGCCGGGAGTCTCTCCCCCGGGGCCCCCGGCGGCCCCCGCTCGCGTCTCGGCTTCCGAGCCAGCTGCAGGATGGTGCTGGACTTGCTGCGGGACACCGAGCTCTCCCTGCCCTTCACCCCGGAGCTGCCCCGCACCCCGGTCACCGGCCTCGCTCGGGGCTTTAGGAACCTCAGCACCTGGGCTGGGTAAATCCCGTCTCGCCGCCCCGGGGCTGGGAGCACGCGGGGAAACTCTCCTGGCGGGGAGCGGGGATGAGGCACAGCCCCGGGCGGGAGTGCAGTGCCGGGGGACAGACTCGGCACCCACCCCAATGGGAAGGAAATCTGCCCTCCACCCGCCCTGCCAGCAAACGGCCCCTAGCAGCCTAGGGGCCAGGGACAAGCTTCGCTTGTTCCTTTGGTGTTTCATCCACCTGCCGGCAGGCTGCCCAGCAGGCAGAGACCGAATAGTGCTTCTGATCGCCCCAAGTAGTGCGGGGGGGGGGGTAAGAGCAGTCTCTTTGCTCAGCTTGGGTCAGGATGAACCCATCAACTAGTGCTCCTACTACAAGGATTGGGTCAGCAGCTTGCTCTTGATGGGTGGGGGGAGGGTTGATAAATTCAGGCCTAAATTTAGGATTTCTTGCTGTTTAGTGTTTGCGTTACTGTGTTGAAAACAACTTTAGTCTAAAGGTTGTGATGCCTGCAAGGCCTGTTCAAAAGGAACCAAGAGGACTATAAGACTCTCTGTCCCAGCATCGGCTCCTGCAAGAAACTCGGGGGGGGGGGCTTCTCATTTAAAAAAAAAACGTTTCTTGGTGTGAACAGCATGGCCACTAAACCTCATCTTTTTATAAAGGCACCCTCAAGACCTTCCGAAATGCCTCACAAAGCTCAGGTTCTGAGTTCTTTGGATAGGGCGGGGAAGGTACCTCTTATGGTTCCGGCGGCTCTAAGTGGGTGCATGCTGCAGAAAAGAGTTCTGACAGAGATCCTGCTGTTGGATCCAGTGCAGTCTCATACCTTGATGTCCACATGCTGATTTACAAAAATGTCACAATTTTCCCCATCCCCTGATACTTTTGATTTTGATTTGTTGTTGCAGGGATACACCAAAGTGCTGTCTAGATCTGTCTGATCTCAGCAGTGGTGAGGAGATGCCTGCCTTCAATTTCACCCATTCCCCAGACATGGCTGGTAAGAGCTGACTGGCTGGGACAAAATTCTGAGCCTTAGCCCTAGTTGTATTGCTTGCTATTATGCTGGTGGCAAGGACCAGTACCTCATTTTGCTATGTGCTGTTAAATAAGTAATAGAGTTCCTGAGAACTCTCTCATTCTGGGATTATGAAAAGATTCACCAGGTGGATTAAACAGATAGATGGGTTGTGGTTAGATGAAGACAAGTAAAACAAGCACATTTTGCATAGTATAGGCAGTAGCTGCAACTCACTTGACTAGCCATTTCCAACAGTCAGTGCTTGTAATTGTTAATAATGGTGCCAAGACTCTCAGAATCCTCAACTCCAGCTGTACACCCCTTCAATATGAGACAGTCCAAAATGAGCCCAGCTTCCACAAGGCTGAGGCTTCACAGCCTAGCCAGGTGGAAAGGACTCTGCCATCCTTATAGTGAAAAGATTGGCTGTTGTAGCTATTCTCTTAGAATGCTCCCTTGAACTGTTCTCTAACTGTGCTGTTGCCAAAGCATGGAAAGCATTGGCACATGGGATAATTTGTCTTTACAGTTTACATAAACCTAGGGATGCTGTTGCAACACATCAGCAATATTAGTGGAGCACATCCCCGGTCTCACTCTGCCTTAAAAGTGAAGGTTACAAATATAGTCTTCCTTGAACAAGTTAAATCAGGAAACGCTGCTTTACTAGTTTTGTGAATTTCAAAATCTTCAAATTTGTCTCATCCATCCCTTGGGACTGTCCAGTACTGAGCCCAGCTGTATAATTTCTAGAATTTTTCCCACTGTAGTTTGAAATGTCTCCAGTTACTTCCTGGAGACCATTCCACAGCCTGGGTCTCCTCACTAGGAGGTATTCCTGATAGTCAGCCTACCATTATCCTTTTCTGTCTAATCTCTCATCGTGGGTAGTCACAGAATGTTGGCCACAGGAGACTCTAGATGCCTTTTCTTCATTTCACATAATTGCTCCTACTTTATTCTCCATGCTCATGCCAGCTGTGTTTTGCTGACTTATCTCTCTTCAGTTGCAGGTCGGGTGGACTCATCAGGACCTCAGGATGGGCTGTAAGTTCTGTATATCAGGGCTCTTCTATGAGCACCCATCACTACAGTATCTGTAGTTCCTGTTAATGAGCCAGATCAGATGAAGAATGATATGCTCTGAAATGGCAATACATACCACGCTTGGGCTGAGGAAGAGATTCCCCCTCAAAAGTAGCAGGGATCTTTCCTGACCTGTCCAGATAGTGTTCTTATCTTTATAAAATGTCAGTGACTCCTGGCTGGAAGATACTGTGTAGTTAAGCAAGGAGTGTTAACATTTAGGTTCTAGCTGGAGTGCGCCATGTGCCATGTCATGCAAACCTTTCCTTTCCAGCTGCTGAGTCTTTGCACTCCTTTTCCTTTTGAACTCTATTTAATCATAACCACCATTAATTTACGGAGAGGGTGAGTAATGATATGGACTCCTTCACCTCCAATCAGCTGTTCAGATCTGGCTACCGTTAGTAGTAACCAAAAGTAGTTCCTATTCTGTGGCTCTGGTTCTCATGTGAAATGAGCATTGTGTGTTTTTTAAACCGACTCAGCCCAGTTCCTAGTTCAGAGGTTTTCATATCACAAAAAACCACTGGTTTGTCAGCAGCCTCAATGGAGAGACCAAGGACTAAACGGGCCACAGTAATTGAATTCCCTTTGATGAGATCCTTCCAAAATATGATTGAGGCGTGCGAGGGGGTGAAATGAAGTTCTGTGCTGCAGCTGTCCGTACAGTACCTGTCCTGTTCTCCAGCACGGTCAGGCAGGCACCATTTCTGGCATATACCTGCATTGCTGTGCTCACATGTGAAAAGAGCAGCAAGGTAAAATCAAAAAAGATCTCTGAGTAAATCTGAAGGCTTGTTGTAATAATTAGGTCTACAAATTTACTCTTAATTATGAGCTCAACTGTAATAAGCATATAAATGTTCATAATATGTGACAATAGCCTATGACAACAAATGTTGATGGGACAAGATACAAAAGGGAGACAGAAAAACTGAATTAGTCTAAACAAAAAGGCAACTTTGATATAACTCAAAGAATATATTAAAATCATGCCTGGTAAACAGATGATGTGGAACCAGAAATTAAGTAACCAAAATTGGTATGTCAGAAACTAGCCCTAACTGGTGGACCAAATAGTAAACATTCATTACTGAAAACAATTTGACCTACTTTCATTAACATCTGTTATTACAGGTAACATCTTAGAACTTTCATACAGTTAAGGTAAAGTTGTAGGGCCAGTTATTACAACAGCTATTTTACCCACTGTTCCTTTTATCAGTCCTTAAAGAAAGAGATTTGGGGAAGAAAATAGGGAAGAACAAATGGAAGCAAGCTTTGCCATCATGGCTGTCACCCCCACCATCTCCTGGGTTTCTGGGCCTCTGTTACCTTAATCCTGAGCAATGTCCTGACCAGACTGAGCCAGATGACATTGCCACCCATAGCGGCTCCAGCTGAATCCCAACCACCAACTGAGATGAAACAAGATTGGATTTAAACTGGAGCTGTTGCTGCTGCTTCAGCTGTCATCAATCTCAACTAACTTCTTTTCCCCAAAGGGACAGTTTAGGACTTTAACAGAAGTAGCAACAACAACAGCTTCAGCTCATCTCAACTAATCTTTTCACTCTTACCAAAGAGGACAGTAATTATCATAGGACTGGAAGGGACCTTGAGAGGTTATCTAGTCTAGTCCCCTGCACTCATGGCAGGACTAAGTATTACCTAGTTCATCTTTGAGACCATCAAATAGACTGTCACACAAGGGGTTTTTTCTTATAAAACTCCTTACAGCTAACAGGAAAGGGAACAAGGGATGTTAAAATGAAAGCCTTACTTAATACTTCACATTTGAAATGCCTTAACTGCTTTCCTTCTTTTCTGCATCTTTAATAAAAGATTAAAAAGGATTTTTAATGATGTGTCTGCCATAGTACTAAGCAGGCTGTGGTCTCTGTATACCAAACCCCAGACCTTGTTTAATAGAGTTTAATGTTGGACAGTGACTGGGTTATGTTAACACCTTCAGCCCATATTCCATCTAAATTAGTACAGCAGGCCACTGGTCTCTTCTCCCTCAAATCCTTCCTCAAGAACCACTTCTGCTGAGACCCTGCACGTTATTTTTTTATTTTAATGTAATGACAGCAAGGCTGACTGGGCTGAGTGCAGTTTGTAAAATTAACAGGATGACTGCAGCATCCAGCCCCATGGTTAAGGCTGGATCAGATCCCATCCCTCCAGCACATGCACACCCTCCTCTGTCTGGCACGCTCACTTGGCAAGCCCTATTTCAGATTAGACTGAGCTCTTTGGGGCAGTGCCGGCGCAGTGATGCCCAAGCAGGGCCTTTGGACACTACTGCAATACACAAGAGAACAATCTTTGACGTTTGTTCAGAGTTTCCTAGATGGGAGCTTATTGCTTCCCTGCTCTGCCCACCCATGCAGGGAACATTCCAGACCAGGTGGTGCATGTGGCTAGGCTGCTGTCAGAAATGGCTGTTTTCTCTCCTACACACCCATCAACATGTTCCTCTCATGAGGCAGCCTCCTGCTGATTATAGACAGCCCGCAGGTTCTTGCCTAGAGCGGCTCCCCACGTCGTCTTTAGCTGGCCCCATGTAGTACGTATTTTCTGGTTTCAGTCCTGCCTGGGCCCGGAGAGGTGGAGTTTGGGTCTGGAGGCCTTTGAAGGGAACAATTCAATCTCTCTTTTCTGAGCCTACTGACAAAGCAGTGTTTTTTGTGATGTGGAAACTTGGTTTTTAGGGTCATCCTGGGAGCACCAGTTGCATTGGGTGTGGTATTATTTCTTACTCAGTTTTACACAAGACTCTGGAAATATGACAGAGACAGTTTGCAGCTGGCCAGCCATGTCCTGTTCAGCATAAATAGGGGGATGATCTGTAAAATGAGGGGCAGGATCCCTGAGTTCTAATCCCAGCTCTGTCAGTGACTCACCATGTGGCCTGGGGCGAGATTCTGTTTCTCCGAGACTCAGTGTCCCTTCCATAAAATGGGATAATCGTCTTGTCCTGCCTGCTGAGCATCACCAGGGTGCTGTGTTAGTGCTGAGTATTGTCATTCGGCATAAGTTCTGCAGGGACATACTGAAGTGGGTGGGTCCCCCCTGAGGACGTGCAGGCTGGACAGCAGAGCAAGCCCCAGGACACTCTGACAGGCTGTTTTTCTCCCTGCAGAGAGGCACAGAGGCAGAATGTAAAATCTTTCCTGGTAAGTGACTCCTCTTCGTTGGGAGACAGGTTATTTTGTTACCGGGAGGAGCTGGGGCATCTGAGCAGGCCCAGGAAATGCTGTGGGCTGGTGTAAGGAGGCTAGGTGCAGTGGGACACTGACTGCAGGTCTCAGGGCTCTTGTTTACCATTGTCCCAGTGAGCGATCCCTTCTGTGCATTGTAGCCCCAGGTATTATGCAGCACACCGAGTTCCCCAGGCTCCATGCAGCGAGAAGGCAACGAGATAGACAACTCCCTGAACAAGGAAAACGTGAGTACCTGCTGGATGGGGCCGGGGGGCTGCACAGGCATTTGCTGGAAGTGGTGGCAGATGGGAGCACATGTCAGTACTGCAGCTCTGTAGCACAGAATCCTTACCAAGCACTGAATATGGAAGGGGGTAATCCTCTAGGATCCCCAAATTGCCTTTCCTCCTTCCCCACTAACTGTGGTGCTGAATCTACTCCTAACCAAGATCCAGGGCCTGTTTAATGCCGGGGGAGGTTTGAAACTGTCTTAGGCTCTTGACCCTGGAGGTGGCGGATGTGGCCAGCTCTCAGCTCAAGGCCCTTTCCCCTTTCTCTTGTTTCAGGAGGGCCGCTGGTTTAAGCGCCCAGGGTGGCAAATGCCTAGGTCCCTGCTGTTTCGAAAGAGAGCAACAGCTCAGCTGGTGAGTTAATGCTTCAGGCTTCTCAGTATCCAATGACCTGATATGGTGAGTGTGGAGAGGATAATGCCAATGATATTTAATATAATATATGGAGATATACCTATCTCATAGAGCTGGAAGGGACCCTGAAAGGTCATCAAATCCAGTCCCCTGCCTTCACTAGCAGGACCAAGTACTGATTTTGCCCCAGATCCCTAAGTGGCCCCCTCAAGGATTGAACTCTCAACCCTGAGTTTAGCAGGCCAATGCTCAAACCACTGAGCTATCCCTCCCCTGATGATAGACAGGGCTGGATGGGGATGAGCCCTCCTCTGAGATGTGGAGGAGGGGGGCAGGCTGGGTCAGATCTCCCTTTTCTTATGGGGGCACTGTCTGTGCCTTGTCTGAAGCCCTGCTTCCTGTGGAGAGCAGGAATCAGAGAGTTCACAGGTTTGTGAATTGGTTTGACACTGGGGGCAGTCAGGGAAGTCTGCTCTGCAACAGCCCTAGGCAGTACTCTTTGGGATTAGTTAACAGACTGACCATATGGAGTCTGGTTCTCGACCATCAGGAGTTACTGTCAGTGAGTGGCACTGACAGCATGGCAGAGCAGGTCTGGGATCTGCAGTGCAGCTTGCCTGGGTGGGAACAAGGCACCGTTGCAGGACTGTAACTCCATCTCTTCCCCTGTCAGGATGCAGGGGGCTTGGAGGAGTGTGAAGTGAAAGATTTGGGCAGCCCAATTGCTGCAGTGGCACCGCATCCACGCAGAATGGCAGAGAACTTGGACAGCTTTGAAGAGCTCTTCCCCAATGAACAAGAAGACATGGAGGTGAGAGGAGCCAGGCATAGTCATCATCTGCCCTGCATGTACTCCACTGTGTGCTTCATGGAGCAGTTCACAGGCTGGGGAAGTAGACACTGCAGAGTCTGTCCTGGTCTGGACTGACAGGCTACCAAGAGCCAGCAGGTGTTTGGGAGCATTCTGGATATTTCTAGGGAGCCGGGCAGCTTTGATAGTGTTTAGCTGGACAAAGTATTGGCAGCCTGAGCTCCACTGGAGAAGAGGCAGAGCTCACCTCTCTCCTTCCACAGCTGGAGGAGTGGAGCGACCTGGGATGTGGTGAGCAGCCCTCCTGGACACTAGCAGATCCCTAGCTGTGTGTTCTCCCTCCATCACTGGGCACAGCAGCACACAGCTACGGGTTACTCTTGGTCACTGGATGCCTGACAGTGATTTCAGGTGAGTTGTGCTTGTGGTTAATGCTGTTTCTATTCCCCCCCAGAAACCAGTGGCTGGGAACCTGTCCTCCAGCATGGCTGTCCTGCTCTCTGGACCCCTCCTCACACAGGACATCAATGTCAGTGAAGTGAGTGAGCTTACCTACTAATACGTCATTAAATCAGACCTGCCCAGGTGTCTGGGCAAAGCTTGTATCCTGCAGGGCAAAAATCATTCTTGGACTGGGGGGTGCTGCTTGGGCTGGCATTGCTCACTATCCACTTATTGCCATTCTAGGAGGAGCTGCTCTGCTTCCAGCTCCAAAGGGGCTTTACAGAGATGGGCCTCTGCAACCCAGGCTTCCGGGAAGGGAGCATTGCTCCGAAAGTGTTGAGCTGGGGAGATGGCGCCCCCTTGTGACTTGCCTTTCCTTCCCCTCTTGTCTGTCTCCAAGCAGGTCTCTATCAACAGAAGTCGCCTGTACCGCTCACCGTCCATGCCAGAGAAGTTGGACAGACCGGTGCTGAAGCGAATAGTGAGATGCCAGGACAATGAAACTCCAGTCAAGGTGAAACTGAGACGCAGCCCTGTCTATGAGGAGCTGGAGCAGGTAAGGGAGCCAGACCTGGGAATCATTAAGAAAGGGATAGATAATAAGACAAAATATCATATTGCCTCTATAAATCCATGGTACGTCCACATCTTGAATACTACGTGCAAATGTGGTTTCTCCATCTCAAAAAGATATATTGGAATTGGAAAAGGTTCAGAAAAGGGCAACAAAAATGATTGGGGTATGGAACAGCTTCCATATGAGGAGACATTAATAAGACTGGGACTTTTCACGTTGGAAAAGAGATGACTAAGGGGGGATATGCCAGAGGATGTTATGAAGGCCAAGAGGATCTTTGCCAGAGGATGTTGTGAAGGCCAAGACTACAACAGGGTTCAAAAAAGAACTAGATAAATTCATGGAGGATAGGTCCATCAATGGCTATTAGCCAGGATGGGCAGGGATGGTGTCCCTAGCCTTTGTTTGCCAGAAGCTGAGAATGGGTAACAGGGGATGGATCACTTGATGATTACCTGTCCTGTTCATTCTGGGGCACTTGGCATTGGCCACTGTTGGAAGACAAGATACTGGGATAGATGGAGCTTTGGTCTGACCCAATCTGGCCGTTCTTATGCCAGGGACTTTGGAGGGGGTAGTCCAGCCTTTGCTTTGGGGAAACTGTAAGACGGGTGTTGGCCAGCCCATATGGGCAGAGCCACACAGTGGAGTAGCCGGTTAGGGACTGGTTGGCTTGTGTATTGCTGATGGCTGCCTGATTGGTTGCAGGGCGCAACTCTGAAGAAGACGGCCTCCCTCTCAGACATGGAAATTGTCAAAGTTCTTGATCAGGACTATGGCTTCCGACAGCTCATCGGGGACTTCTCTAAGGTCTGTGTCTGCTGCAGCCACCTGTGCCCTGAGCAGTCTCCCAGCTCTCGAAAGGGGTACGCCTTGATGTGGGAGAAGGAACCACCTAAATTTGATGTGCAGAGCTGGTTATTTTCCTTGCTGCACAGCAGTGGGATGAGAATCCTAGGCCGTAACCCCAGAGACACTCCTAGGGAGCTGGTTTGGTTTCTACATGTTAAACAATCTTTGATTCAAAATCAAATCCTGATGCCCCTAGGGAGGTGGCAGGTAAGTCAAGGATCAGAGAGCAATACCTCCCAGCAAACACAGGAATCCTGTGCTCAAAGAAACAGTTATGGATTTAATCAGAGGATGGAGAATGTGGGTGGGTTGAGTGGATGGGGGGTGAAGGATAGAGGGACAGTCACCAGAGGGCCTGGGGGGTGGAAACCAGTCTGAGTTTGAGGATCTAGAAGAGCAGGGTCCTTGCAGCTATTATGATTCTGAGCTGGACTGAGAATGTCTCTCTAGGTGTATGCGCTGCCGACAGTGACAGGAAGGCAACAGGATCTGAGATACATCACCCCGGAGACTGTGAGCAATGGCCTGCCCCCATGTCTGTAACTGTGTCCTTCCCCACCCCAAGCGTGCCTGTGCTCCCAGCTCTGCCTCTCCCTCCCCTCCAACATCCTTGTGTGTTACTCCTGAGAGCTGCTTGGTGGGGGCTATTTGACCTGCCTGTTGAAGCTGCTGCTTGTGAATCCTGATTCAAGTCTTGACTGCATTAATGTGGAGAAAGACTCCTTAATCCAGCCTTCAAAGCTTGTTAGCACTGGAGCATAATTAGATGCACCCTTTTCCAGCCACAAGCGTCACTTGAATGTTCTCTTGTATTTTGGCTGAGCAATCCCTGCTGCACACAGCCTGTGGCTCTTGCTGGCCTGGCAAGAAGAGCAGTTCTGTCTCAGAAGGGGAAGTTGTGTGGCTGGGAGCTGCCCCTCATTGTTGAATCCTTTAAGTGTAAATTGGATCCTTTACAGGTGGCTGCTCTTCTCTTTGGGCAATTCCAAAGCTTGATTGAGACATTCTACATCATCGACTGTCGCTACCCCTATGAGTATCGGGGGGGGCACATAAAGGTGAGGGAACTGGGGAGGGTCTGAAGTAGGGGGTGGAACTGGGATGTCAATATCCCCATGTGTTGCTGAGAATTGATCTTTCTTCCCCCCCCCCCCCTTTCTGCACTGCAGGGGGCTCTGAACTTTCACAGGCAGGAAGATGTCTTTGAGTTCTTGCTGAAGAAGCCTCTGTTCCCGTCCACGCCACAGAAACGCATTGTCCTTGTGTTCCACTGTGAATTCTCCTCAGAACGGGGCCCCAAGATGTGAGTGCAGGTCCTGTCTAGTCAGAGCTGGGAAAAGACGGCTGCTAGCAGGGGGTGGGTGCTCCTTGCTGAAATAACGCCTGCTGCTGCCTGTCTGACTTAGCTCCACATGTTGCTGTTTGAAGGTGCCGCTATCTGAGGGCGGAAGATCGAGCCATGAATGAGTACCCTGCACTGCACTATCCTGAGCTCTACGTCCTGAAGGGAGGCTACAAGGAGTTCTTCCCTGAGTACATGGTAATGGCAGGGCATCCAACTGGTGGGAATAAGGAGTCTCAGACCTTCTGCGATGGGGGCTGACTTGCCTCAAGGCCGCAGCAAGTCAGAAAAGTCGGTGTTAGCAGTGGGATTAGAACTGAGTTCCTAGCTTCCATTGCTGTGCTTGGACCACTAGACTGTGCCCCGCTGCCCACTAGTAGGTGTTCGTTACCAGTGAGGTGAAACCAAAGAAACAATGACATACCACTGAGAACACAGCAGACCCAGCTCCCGCCATTGGAATTGTCTAGATGGGCTGGCTAGGGTTCCCTTGCTCTAGCTGGATAATGTGTCTTCCCTTCCCTTCTCAGGAGCTCTGTGAACCCCAGGACTACTGTCCAATGCACCACCAGGACTACAAGGCAGAGTTGCTGAAATTCCGTACCAAGAGCAAGTTGTGGGCTGGAGACCGGAGGAGATGCGACCAAATCGCTCGTCTCATGAAGTTGTGAGGGCAGAGGCAGCAGCCTTGAGTGGGCACTGCTTGGAAGGGCTCTGCCTTGCACAGCAACAGTTTTTTCTCTTGGAAGTGGGTCACTCAGTGACAGTCAGAGGCTGGAAAGTGGGAACCTGCCTTGTCCTATGGAAACTGCAGCCACCTTCAGCCATTTCAGATGCTAACAAATGCTACAGGAAGGCTGGTTAAAAAAGGTCTTGATTCTTGATGCTGCATTTTGGAAAGACTGTGGCTGAGCATGACCCGGGTGGACCTAGCAGTCTGTAAGGAAATGGGGCCTCCTTCACATGGAAGGCACAGAGCGGGCCAGGTTCTAGGCTGCTGTGCCCAGCCATTGCAGAGCAGGGTATGTCACAGCCTGAGCTTTGACTCCTTTTTCCATCTCCTGCTTCTAGCAGGAACCTCCATGTTTCTCTTCACTGTTACTCTAGGTTTTGCATTTAATTGTCTCTTTTTAGTGACAGAATAAACAGATACCAAAGTGCTTGATTTGAACAGCTCTCCCTGTCCCTCCAGCCTGGTGACTCCCACCCATTTGTACCATTAGGATATTATTAAATCATCTTGTGCCAGAAGCCCCTGGGTGACTAAACAGATGCCAAATCCTGGCCTGTGATTGGCTGAGAAGTCCTGTGATGTGTAAGCCTCTATAAGGTTAACACTGAAGGCTGGACCAATGTTAACCAATCAGATGACATCTCTGCTGCATCCTTATTAGCATCTCACAGTCAGTTAAGGAATTGATGAACAGCAGCTAATCAAATCACATATGCAAATCTTTGCTTCCTGCTTGGTTCACTAGGATATTGACTTCTACCATTATCTCCATTTAGAATGTTGGGGAAAAGACAAGTTTGAAATTCCCACCCATAAAGAGGGGGAGTTAACCATTTATATGGATAAGGAGAACATCCCGTTAGGAGGAATATGAATCCTGCTTCAAGGCACATGCCAACTGCCAAAGTTAGGAAGACCTCAGGGGCAGGTTATTCCAAAATTGTCCATTATGGGTTTGTTTGTTTTTGCACCTTCCTCTGAAGCTTTTAGCAGGGGCACTCTGACCGGAGGCCTGGGCTAGAAATCCTTATGTCCCAGTTATATTTTGCATGGACATTGAGAATGTATATAATAAAACAGGCTGTCTTGTTCTTGAGGTAAACAATGACCCAGGCAAATAAATACTGATGCTAATTGAAACACAATTATTCTCCATACAGTAGAGGAGTGTGTACTGCTTTACAGCCAAGTAAGAGATGGTCCCAGCTCCAAGGAGTCTGCAGTGTAGATTAGAAAAGGCATGGTATAGAGGAGATGGTATTGGCCTGAGAGTGGGGACAGTGTGTTGTCTTGGACACAATCTGTGCTATTTTTCTGTGTGTTAGAATTTTGAATTTACCTACTGTGAGAAAATGTTAGTTTGTTTGCTATTTACATTGTCAGTAGCTTCTACCTTGTTCCTTCTGCTCCCGAAAAGCAATCGCTCTGGGGCCCACAAAGCAGGAAAGATTGGGTGAGTTCACATTTACTTCTTTCAATCTATCCCAGCCAATCTGGGAGCAACAGAAAGTCCAAATATCTTCCTTCGGCTCTGAGGAACACAAGCTTTCTTTCTGCACAGCCTCTGTAACTAAGATCAGTGATAGGAATAAGTTCTTGTAGTGTCCTGACTCTGAGCACAGCTCCACATCTGTGTTTGCTTGGACAGAAGAGATGTTTAGCCTATCCCATGCTGTCTTACAAGGCCAGCTCCTTAAGCGGTCTGTAAAGCTTACTGGGGTATTGTATAAGGAAGTTCAGGGGGAGCACAGGGCTGGGGAGGAGCACAAAGCTGCTGCTAGGTGAAACAATTCCACCAGATGGCACTGCTGCAATATAGTTAAGGTGAAGAGATGAAGATGTCCCCATTGTCGGCTGGACTCTAGGCATATTTGATATCTGGGCAGGGGGTGTCAACACCAGTACATATGCTCCATGAAACAGTGCAGGAGGGGAAGCACAGAGAATGGGGGCATCCCTACAGTTCTTGTGTGTTCTCCAGGGGGCAATCTTGCACTTATCCCCAGGGGCTGGATGCAAGGGACTCTTCCCTCCACCGTGTAATCCACTGGCCAGCACAGGGGCTTTACACCATATCCTTCATACTCACCAAGAGGAGTGAGTGCCAGGTTCCTGTGGTGTCTCTGATCCGCCTCACCCTGCTGCCTTCCTGTGAATGTTTCCTCCTAGTGATTGGGCATTTGGGACTGAGTTGTGGTTTGGCTTTTTTTCTTTTCCAGGTTTCATCTCCCATTCTGTAGTAAGCTGTCTCCCTGGGATGGGAGAGCAAAGTGCACACGGCCATGAGATGAGAGAGCCTCTCTGCTCCCCCTACACACTGCTGCTTCTGCAGGAGCTTGTGGCAAACACCTCTGAAATTGGACTTTTTCAGTACATTGCATCTAACTCAACCTTTTCTCTTTATTCCCCTGGCTGAGCCTCCAAGATGTCCCCAGGTGCAGAGTTCAGCTTGCCATCTATGGATCCAGGAGCTGCAGGTGTCTCTTAGGAAGAATGAGCTTGCATAACTCCCTTCACTAGCTTCCCCTCTCAGGGCCACAGAGCTTGGGGTCCAGTCTGAGTGTGAGCGTCTACACAGTGATTTTTGAGCCCCCTGAGCCTGAGTTAGATGACTCAGCCCAGACATGTGCAGACGTAGCCTAAACGTGCTGAGAGTACTCAGTAAATATAATTAAACTAATGCTTGAAAGGTTGGTTGAAATCTGCTCTGCTGGGAGGAATGGGGGCTGATGTCTGTAAGAAGATAAAGCAAAGGAATGAGAACTTCCAAAAACCCTGCTGCCAGGGACTTAATTTGGAGGATGCTGCCTCTGTGGACACAGCAGCTGTGTTGTGGTTCAAAGTCCTGCTGTGGGGGAGAGGCCTGTACCTCAGTCTCTCCTGGTAGAGTCACTGCAGCACCTGATCCTGCTGATAAGGAGCAAAGCAAACACCAGCCCCGGCGCTGCTGCCTTCCACGTGCCCATCTTTATTACTAGAGCCCTGCACAGATACAAAATTTGTATCCACATCTGATCTGTGATCCGTGGATATAAAGCAGATATCTGCAGATTTGTAGGGTTTTAGATATAAAAATTGGATCCGCATCCATCCACAATCTGCAAAAATGGTCCATGGATATCCACAGATTTGCAGGGCTCTATTATTACAATCAAAAAGGGCAAATGTACAAGTTTGGCTGAAATAAAAATGCTGCTATAGCCAGTGGGAAGCTGCATCCTCTGTGGGGAGGAGAAGAAAGGATTAACCAGCAGTATCTGTTCCTGTAGTTTATCTCCAGCTCATGGCTTGAGGTGAAGGGGGATTCATAGATTCCCAGGCCAGAAGGGATCCTTGTGATCATCTAACTGGACCTTCTGTATAAAACAGGCCACAGAACATCGCCAAAATAATTGCTGGAGCAGATTTTAGAAAAACATCCAACCTTGATGTAAAAACGGTCAGTAATGGAGAATCCACCAAGGTAAATTGTTCCAGTGGTTAACTCAGGGGTCTCAAACACACAACCTGCGGGCCACATGCTTGGAGTGGAAATTTTCTGTAACATTTTTATAATTCCTAGTCGAGCCTCAGTTTCCCTCTTGACTTTACGCTTTGACTGGGGGGTTGGAAAGGGTTATGCAGTGCAGGAGAGAGTCGGCGCCTAGGGCGGGCCGCAGGAAACGGCCCACGGGCCGCGTGTTTGAGACCCCAGGTGTAGATCATCATCAGTGTTACTGACCACATAAGGAATAGTTACAGGTGTTTATATTTTATTAAAACCCCTCTTCGCATTACAGTTTTTAAAAAGTTAATACATTGACTTTTAATAGCATACTATAGTACTCTTCCTTTTTTTCATTTTTGACTATACTTTTGTATCGTATGAAAAGGTGTCAGTGATGCTGCCCTCGGGCCAATGGACTAGTCCTCATGTGGCCCTCGTGGTGATTTGAGTTTGAGATCCCTGGGTTAACTACTCTCACGGTTAAAAATGTACGCATTACTTCCAGTTTGAATTTGTCTAGCTTCAACTTCCAGCCATTGGATCGTGTTAGCCCTCTCGCTGCTAGCTTGAAGACTCCATTATTAAATAGTTGTTCCCCATGTAGATACTTACATACTGTAATCAACCTTTTCTTTGTTAGACTCAAAAGAGTTCAATCTATTTAGCCAAGCACTGGAAGGCATGTTGTCTAATTCTTTAATCAGTCTTGTGGCTTTTCTCTGAACCCTTTCCAATTTATCAACATCTTTCTTGAATTGGGGACACCAGCACTGGACATAGTATTCCAGCAGTGGTCATACCAGTGCTAAATACAGAAGTAAAATAACCTCTCTACCCCTACTCAAGATTCCCCTGTTTATGCATCCCAGGATTTCATTAGCTCTTTTGGCCATCGTGTCACATTGGGAGCTCATGTTCAGCATCAGAATTTCTGCCAAATCAACGGGGGAAATAATTTAAAACGTTGTTTTGTCACTTAATTTCTCTTCAATCAGCATCCACCCAGCCATGCTGCAGAAAACCTTGTTTTCTTCTCCAGAGTTTGCTGCCTATTATCGTGTGCAATGTAGCACACCAGGCATCTGAACAGCTGCTGGCCCTGAGGCATTGGAGCATCTGTTTGGGTCTCTCTTACCATGAACATGATCACAGCACTGCACATTCGTTTTAGTTTTACCTCGGGCAAAGAAAGGGGAAGTAGCTGCACTGCCACAGCACCAATCACAAATACAACACTGGGCAAAACAATGTCCCCAAAGCCAAGGGATTTGTGCTTTTCATAAAATATCTTGCTATCAAAGTCCTGTCGAATTTTGTTGTTAAAACTAAATAGACTCAAGTCTCTCTTTTTTTTATGTTCCTGTTTTTCATGCTGACAAAATCTAACCTGACAACACAGGAACTCATAGCTGTCAGCTCCTGGAGAAAGACTGGGGAAGCCCCTTTCTGAGCCTCCCTTCTGGTCCCCAAACAGGCTGCCCCAGAATCCACGCAGTCACACAGGCATGTACTTGCCAAAGGCAGTAACTGAGGACCATCTGTTTCCCTCTTTGCTTAGGATGGAGTCTAGCCTGGCGGTTGTGACACACTGAGACTTTGGCCCAAGTGGGTCAGAGGTCTGAATTTCTGTTATTGACACTCCTGCCATCAAATCAAACAGGCCAAAATGCGGGAGCTACTCTCAGCATGTTCAGTGTGGGAACAAGCAGAAGGGAAAAATCTGAGGCAGGACTGGCCCACTGCCAACAGTGCAGAAGAGAACGGGAAAAGGG